CCAATTGCTTGCAGTGAATTTGGGGGTGCTTTACTTAAAAAGAGTTCTTCCTCGAATGGGACTTAGACAATCGTTTAAAAAAAGGTAATATTCAAAGACCAGACTAGTAAGGCTGCCAGAGTGACATTACTCCAGGACCAACATAGACGTCTGTGCTGGTCCAGCATCTTCTAGAGGCTGCAAAGGGCTCACATTTGGTTCCTTGATTTAAAACCCTTTGGGGCACAGTTCTAGGGTTGCTAGAAATGGGCTCAACTTGAAGGCAATCCACCCACTGCCGATGAACGATTCCAACTCACAGCACGTCTCTTGGACAGAGGACAACGAATGACTCCACTAGTTTTCTCAGACTGTAAATCTTCAAGAGAGCAAACTGCCTCATCTTTCTCCACAGAACAGCTAGTGGTCTTGAACCACTCACTCCAGTTAGCAGCCCAATGCTTAACTCACCACCACCAGGGTTCATTTTTTGAAGGCAACTGGTATAGTAAAAAGCAAAACAAAAACTATGAATATGTCCAAGTGTCTCTAGAACATAAAACGTTTGAATATGTAATTGAGTTTTATCTCCTGTGTGGATGCCTTAATGAATAAACATGTCAGAACAAAGATGCTTTAATTCCTATGCTATTTCCCCTTCTAGAGAATGGTACTTCCTATAGCTTGCCTTTTACCGTGAAGTTTTTTTTTCAAATTACTTTGTTGTTGTTAAGTGCCTTTGTGTAGGTTCCAACTCATAGCAACTCTGTACAGGGTTTCCAAGGCTGCAAATCTTTGTGGGAGCAGAAAGCCTCATCTTTCTCCTGTGACAGCTGGTGGGCTCGAACTACCAACCTCTGTAGAATAGTGCTTATCCTACACAGCCACCATGTTCCCACTTTCTCATCAAAATCTACAAAATTCAAGGAAACCAGACAGAAGTTTAAAAGGAGAACCATCCCATACCAAGATCACCTGCTGTAAAATTCATCCCATGGACAGTGGAGACATTGGTGTTGTGTGGGGCCCAGTGGGGACTGATGCTGACCATCACCTGGCACTACAGAGCCGCTTTCTGCCAGATAGGGGACCGAGGGCTGAGCCAGGCTCAGTTCTGCCACCAAGCAACCTGCTGTGAGGTTTACTTACAAGCTACTCCACTTTTCAGGACTGTCTTTAAAGTTTGGGTGTTCCCTCCTTAGCTATACTATTTAATGACCCTAAGGTGTCATATGGCACTGATGAGCTCTGTGAATCTAAGTCTTGCTCTTGTTGTTAGCTGCTGTAGATTCAACCCCTGACTCATGGCAAGGCCATGGACAACAGAATAAAACACAGTCCTGTGGTGTCCCCTTAATCGGATGTGGATAGGATCCTAAGGATCCATAGGATTTTCACTGACTAATTTTAAGAAGGAGATCATCAAGCCTTTCTTCCAGGTCTATCTTTATCTGAATCTCTGCTGAAACCAGTTCAGCACATGCAGCACGGGAGCCTTCCTGACAGATGGGTGGAGGCTGTGCAGGGGGTGTACAGCCTGGGCAAAGAACCCGGTGCTCATGTGCAGACAGCTCTACCACACAACCCCCCATCTATCTCTTAAGAAGGTTTGTCTTCCCACAGTGTTCAGTCCAAGTCAACTAAATAGTGTTCTCCCAATCACCGCTGGCTTCTGAAGCTATGCACTACATTCACGTCTGTGGCAAGCAGTGGGGATACTGATCCTTGCCCCTGGCTAAATAAGCAGGAATTGGGGAGAATGTGGTAGGGAGAAGCACTCCAAACACCTGTCAAGTTTGACTAAACAAGGTTACATGTGCCATGCCTTGAACGATGAAGCACACGGGAGGAAAGCTGCGGGTCTTGGAAACCAGTGTAGTAAAGACAAGAGTTTGGGCTGAGCTGTGCCTCTGGTACAAGGTCAGGAAGCACCCAATAGAAAACAAAATCGGTCCCATGACTTAGGGGAGCTTGTGACACCCCTTCTTTCCTGACAGTCTTCAGTGGAAGACATTTTGTCCATTCTCAATGATTAATTATACTGATACTTACACAGCCTTTAGTACTTTAAAAGGCACTTTTAAACTGAACAGCTCTCTGGCTCAGAGAATCCTTCTCACTACTCTTCACTTATGGACTATCTTATTATCTGATATTTCACATTTATGACAACAGTGAAACATCTGCTATCTGGTGGGTGAATGTCAAACCTGGAGGCAAAGGTGGGTGGTGGTGGCACAGGAAGGCATCCAGAGAACCACCAGACAGACACAATGTTGGGGGAGGCAGTGTGAGGGGTCAAGGAGGGCAGCACTATCTAAAGAGGCATCTGTGCAGCCTCAGTGGGGAAGCAAGTCTGCTCAGCGGGCTGTGCAGGAAGACATGGCACTGCCAGGGCAGCAACTGCAGTGGTGGGGCTCTCAGCTGAGAGATGAAGCTTGGAATGGAGGAGCAGAGTCGGGTGGGTCTGGCTGTACTAGGAAGGAATGGTGGGCCTAGGGGTGCAGGAGTGTAGCAGCTCCGCCTGGAGGTGGTGTGGGAGCTGCCAGATGGAGTGGACTGGAGATACCCACTGCTGTAGATGGGTTCTACAGGCTGGTCTGTGGTGCAGGAGGAGCAGGGAAGGGCCCCACTAAGGTCCAAGAGTGGGGGTGGGGAAGTTTGTGCAGGCTGCGGCAGCTGCCTAAGTATGGGGATGGCTCATGGGTGCACAGGCAGGGAAGGAGGTGGTAACTTCAGGGCCCAGGGGAACAGGACATAGGGGTCTGGGGAGAGTTGGCTGGGGCCTGCAGGATCTTCCTCCTCCACCTGGGTTTCACTGAAGCAGTGCCTGGAGGGAGGCTGTAGAAGGTGGCAGAGGAGGAGGTCACGTAATATTTGTAAAACACTGATTTTTGTATAACAGACTGGTCTTTGGAACTTCACCATTTGTGTAAGTGAGGAGTGGGTGTTTGTGAGATAAAGTAGAATTTTCATTCCAATTTTACAGAAGCAATTTTAAAGTCTTATGACTTGTCTAGAAACTGGGCATGTCCTGGACACAGCTGGGCCAGTCCAGGAGTGCTGGTGCCCACACCAGCACTGATTCCATTATAGTGTTTTGTCTTAGTGTTGTTGTTAAGTGCCACCAAGTCAGTTCTAACTCATAGTGACTCTGTACAGGGTTTCCAAGGAGTGGCTGGTGGGTTTGAATAGCCAACCTTGCAGTTCAAACTGACACTGAAGTCGGGTGCTTATCCCACAGAGCAAAATTAAGTGAAGGCTGGGGAACATGTTATCCTGAGGCTTCCATCTTGGTGATGGCTCATTCCAACTGCTCGAAATGTACACATTGTTGTTGTTAAGTGCCATCGAGTTGGTTCTGCATCACAAAGTTTATGGAAAAATGGAACTAGAAAAATAATGACATCTTTCCACAAACTTCTTGAAGCCCCCTAAGGAGCTCTGGTAGCATAGTGGTTAGCATAGACCTATGGAAATGGGAGTTCTGCAAGTTTTCCTTGTTATATAAAACCCTCAAACATCTTACCTGCCCCTTTTGAGAGAAAACAGTGACACTACTATGCTGAAGTACATATTAATTCCATGTCCACTGATAATGTTCAGGAAACATTAAGAACAAAATTACAAATGCTTCTGGGGATCACAAGCTTCTAAGGGTCTTTCTCTTTTAAGAGTGAGTGCTCGGGATTGCACAGAGCAGCTTTTCTAGTGCCCGGGACTCTAGTTATGTGAAAACTTGGCCCTCTCGTGTATAGAGTGTCTCCTGGCTACACTCCTGGTGTTTCATTTCCTTCCCAATGAAGCGTGCGCCTGGTGGCCACATTCTTGGGTATGCCAGGCCCCTGCCAACCCAGGTAAAGCAGGATGGTGGGGTGCCATAATTGTTTCTGAAAACTTTCCTTGTAAACTTTCTTGGGAAAGGGGTGGCTGTAATGTGATTTAAAGCCCAATCATAAGGGTAGAGTTGTGACACACCCTTGAATAGGATAAGACGGTAAAGCCCCAAACTAAAGAACTTGACCCTAATGTCTAGGCAAGGCTGAAGTCCTACTGACCTGTCCTCTAACTAGATCATACAAAGCAAATTAAGCAAAAGACACAAGTGCTGCCCAACTCCAGGCCTGGACTTTTCTGCGGAGTGGGTTTGATTATGTTCTCAGTTGTCAGATTCCCACATCTTCCTCACTCCTACCCTGCCAGCACCAAGTCCTAACGTTCTCAGTGGCCCTGACACATTAGGAAACTGTATCAGAATCTTGGAGAAGCTAGCAACATTTTCTGACTTAGAATATGTTGCTCTACAGCTGCCAATCACCTGCTTTGATGACCAACTTGAGTATGCAGGGAGCACCTCATTAGAGAGCATCTGTCTTTGGGTCCTTGGTAGAATTACTTGCATCTAAAAGCTTTCATTCACATACATGACTATTGACAACTGTTTCATAACAATGGCAGTGGCTGTGGTGCCAGGGAGCTTTATTTACATGGGGTTGCTATGGCAACAGAGACAGAAGACTCTAGGACTCAGAAGTGGGTGCTAGACTATGCCTACTGCCTGAAAATACTGCCATTAGTTGAGACAGGAGAAGGGCAAGGAGACAAATGAAATGAAAAATCCTAGAGAAGCAGTGCCTGGTTTTCATCTCCATGTTCCCTACAATTCCAGAAGAAGCCTCTTAATGCTTACCCAAGAGTGTCCTGTTCCTAATTACATTTCAAGGTAGATGTGTCAGCAGACCAGGTTATGGTAGGAGAGTTATGGTGAGCCATCACTTTGGTAAGAATTAGCAGCCTGCCCACATCTGCCACATTTCAAGCCCCGAGTTCCACTTAACATGCAATGGCTAGATCTGGACTCCAGGGCAATGCCACCCAGGTTCATGTCCTCTCATTATATTCCCTGATGCCATCAGAACAGCTCAGTCTTATTCCTGGACAGAACCTCCACAAGATAGCAAAAGAAGGGTTGAGGGTGAGGAGGCAGGGCTGGCTGGTCAGTAGGGCTAGCTAGTGCTTACCTCTACATTGAGACAGTTCTTGTCTGCAGGCCTGAAACGGCTGGCATCCCCATCTGCTCTTCGCAGCAGCTCGGGACCAGCTCGAAGGCGCAGGTCCCCTTGCTCCTCCCCGTGGTCCTGGCCAAGCTGCCACTCCATCTGATCTCTCAGTTTGGACTGTTAGGTGCATGGGAGGGATTTTTGTTTTTGTTGTTGTTGTTTAAAATAAAAACAAAGGGCCAGAGGGTAGGAAGGGGAGGAGGATAAAGAAAACAAAAATGGGTAAGGGAGACGACTGAAAAAACTACCAGACAAAGAAAAGCATGAACAGAAAAACCAACTTAAATACAGTGGCATGAGAGAGTGAAGAGAACAGAACCAAAATGAGGATGAGCAAAATGAAGGGCTGAAACATCTGAAAAGCAAAAAGAGAAAGAGGAAAAAAGAATGCAAAACACTGGTTATGAGGCGCATGCAATGGGGGTGCGTGAATCAGAAAACCAATCACAAGCATACTACCCATGAAGGATACGGAAAAAAGGTTCTCCTTCCTTCCTGTGGGCTGAACAGCAAAAGCCAAACTTCGGGCGGCCGCTGGGGCATGCACAGGGCAGTCCTTGTGGCCTCTCCACTCCTCCCTGGCCGCTCGGAGGGCAGGAGCAGGCCGTCAGCAAGCTCCTTCACTCAGGAGGTTCCTCTCCCCATTCTGGCTTATCTTCCAGTGGGAGTGGATGGGCTGGGGCTGCCCAGGACCCAGCAGAACTGTGCTTTCTTCCTTTTGGTAATAAACCCAAGTAGGGGTTTCAATGCTCACTGGCAAGTCTGCTAATTATCCTGACTGTGAAATGAGCTTGTACTTTGTATTAAATTCCTCATTGCTTCTTCACCAGGTAGCTGGTTGTCTGAGACATCAAAAAAGGAGCAGCAATAGATGGCGTCGATCCCTATTGCTTCCATTGGGATTAGCCTTGCGTCATGAGGAAAGACCTCTAGACCAAGGGTTATGGTGTAGTTGAAAAGTAAGACAGAAAAAGGATAAAAGAAATAGAAAACAAAAGAGAACTGAAAAAAAGAAAAAAAAAGAAACCCAACCAATAAAAAGGCGCTGGCTGACACTTTGGGCTTTAGTACAAGGCAGGCTGAAATCATAACCAAGCAGCCGTGAGCAGAGTGAGCTCTAGAGCAGCAATACCAGCGAGCAGGAGGAAGAGCAGGGCAGAGCGGGGAGGCAAGCCGAGAAGCCCCCTTACCTGCAAGTCTGCAACCAGCTCCTTCCCCAGGTTCCCAATGGGGGAGTCCCTGGACATGGAGGTCACAGTGGAGAGGAAGCTGGAAGACTCAGTGAGATGGGGAAGGGGAGCCAGATTCTCCAGGTGCTCCCTCAGTCCATCCCCAATCTGGTTCACCTGCTCCAGGAAGGCCTGAAGCTCCTTCTGAAAAGCCTTCATCTTAGAGTTAATGGTACCCAGCACCTCGGGCTCCTCCCAGCCACCCTGGACCCCAGGCTCAGTGGCACGCAGCTTGGCCTCGTAGAGGAGGCTGTCCGTGTCAGTGATGAGGCGCTCCACTGTGCGCCCAAGCTGCTCTGCCTCCTGCTTTATGTTCGCCAGGCACTCAGAGGCCTCATGGGTCCGCATGGTGGGACATGGCTCGCTGGCCTCCGAGGGCTTACCGCTCCCAAAGCCCGAAGTCTTCTCAAATGCCTCCTCTGAATCACTCTCACCACCAATGGGGCCTTCCCTCTTGGGCTGGGACAGCCGGCCTTCCTCCCCATCACTCTCCTTCTTGCCCATGTCGCTCTCAGCATCACTGTCACGGGGGCTTGGGACGCGCAGTCCCAGATGTGTGGCCAGGTCGTAGCGCTGCACGCTGGATAGCAGCACCCGGTTCTCATACTGTAGCTTCAGCACCTTCCCACTCAACTCGCTGATCTGCATCCGTGCAGACTTGAGTTCCTCCTGCAGGGGAAGGCCTGAGCCACTCTCCAGGCCCTCACGCTCCTCCAGCCATCTCTGCTCCGGCCGTGGCTCAAACTTGAACTTGCTTAGCTCATGGGTCAGCTGCCGGTTGTGGTCCTCCACCTCGGAGATGGACCTCCTGAGGAGCTCTGCTTCTTCCTCCACAAACTGGAGGTGCCGGCGGAGCTCTGAGGAGGACTCTGCGGAGTCAGTGAAGGGTGAGGTAGGAATGCTTGGGGGGTGGTCCCTGCTTGCACACTCACGTTCATACTGGCCCCTCATGTCCTCCATCTCTGCTTTGAGGCCTCTGTTCTCCACTTCCAGCTCGACAATCTTGCGGCCCAAGATGTTCGCTTCCTCCTCCACCAACTTGAGCCGCAGTTTCAGCTCGGCCTCTCTGGTACTGGGTGGACCACCTGCCTCCCCGGTTGGGAGGGGGCTGTCCACATCGCCATAGAGGGACTTGTACTTTTGGAGCTCCTGCTCTAGTTCATCCTTCTCCCTTCCTAGCTTGGCCATCTTTTTACGCATCAGGGAGGCTTCCTCTTTGGCAAACTGCAGCTGGCACTTCAGATCAGCACTGTCGTCCTGCCAGGAAAGCACAGCCCAAGAGAAGATGATTGGAAAATACCACATGTCAGTGTTTCTAATGAATTCCCTCACACCTCTCTCAGATACACACACATCAACACAAACCACCATACTTTCTGTCGGTACTGTCAAGTTACATGTAGAAGGAGCTGGGACACAGCACAGAATCTGGGGGCTTTGTGGAGGGAAACCTTCAATGCCTACTGCTCTATGCTTTGTCACAGAAACAAAAGAAACCAAAAATAAGCTTAGGAAAAAAAAATGCACATGAAAACCATTACACGAATCATAACTGAAGGAGAAAATTAAATGAGCTCCCAACACTCTTCTATCATGTTGTTAAAGTAACCTCGAGTTGGTGCCGACTCATAGCAACCCTGTACAGGGTTTCCATGGGTTTGAACCACCGACGTTATGGTTAGCAGTCCAGGTGCTTATCCTATAGCAGCACACAGAATCCTAATGACTTTGTGGGTACAACCCTTTGCCAAAGCTGGGTGCAGACAAATAGGAAAATTAGCACTGTTTCTATCCTGTAGCCACTTATTCCCTCCACAGTGCAAAGAATGCTCGTTTAGTCTGCCCAGAAACCTACAACTTGATCCAGGATGGCAGTGTTAGGTGACCCTGAATTGGAGCCCAGCTTTACAGAATTATTGAGGTACCTGAGCTAAGTCTATTCACCTCCCTCACTTCTAATCTCTTCATCCCCACGAATGATATGATGACAAAAAATGAGATGGCATGTATGAGTATGAGTGTACTAGTGTTAAGTGCGGCCTAGTCAATTTCAACTCATAGCAAATCTGGTTTCCAAGGCAAGGCTGGTTTCCAAGGCAAGGCTTGGGGTCAGCAGTCCAGTGCTAATCTACAGTGCCACACCAGGAGGTGCTAAACCCCTCCAGTTCTGATGGTGTGAGACGCGGGCCCTGGACCTAAGTGCTGTGGACTTCTGCCATGTCAGTACAACTATGGTCACTGTAACAGCAGGAAATGAAACTCCGAATCCCAAGGCCAGGAGTTCAGTGTCTGATCTTCTGAGAAGATGATTTTGTGCCCAGACTATCTGCTAGTGAAAGCCCATACCTCATGGCTGTGGTTCTAGAAGCATTTTAAAAACAGATCAGAAATCCCACTTTACCTTTTCAGTGCAGGTCTCCATGCTCAGCCGTATGACCTCTGCTTTGTTTTACACAAATATTTCACTGCTCACACTAACTGAGCTGAGAAAATGACCATCAGTTCAGGAGAGGAGAGATGCGTCAAACTGGACTCTCCCGGCTTTTAACAAATCTCTGGGGCAAATCAACCCCTCCAGGAGAGGACACACACTTCATTTGTGCTCCATTCAGCTCAGAAAGTTCATTCATTCAGGAAGTACTTACAGTATATCTACTAGACATGTATACAGAAATCAATCAGCATGTTACTTTTAAATAACCCCACTTTCCTAGAACTTTCAAAAGCACCTTTTAAATTTTTGTTAAATATAAGATTTACAGGAGATCTGAAAAGCCACACAAAGTTCTCTGTTGTTCACAAGAAGTTTGGAGTTTAAATGAAACTAAATTACATATTAGTGGAGACAGATTTTTAATCTTTTATAAATGAATTCATTTGGGAGGTAAGTGCTTGGGGCAGAAAAGCAGAGAGGTCCCGAGCCCCATCATTAACTCGACAGCCATTGTTTTTTCATTGTGTAAACTCTCCTAGATGATTGTATCTTCACTTTTGAAGCAGAGAAGTTCATGTCTATGTCTGAGAATGACCAGGATGTCAGGGCAACTGTTCCACTCTCTGCCACTTCAGGTGGGGCCAGCAAGGTATGGCAGTGGTGTGCATTGTGACCAGTACCCTAACCCCATTTACAGGGACACTTGCCAGTGGAGATGCTGGTGACTAGATGAAAGCCATGGTGGGGGAAGTGAGGACAAGGGGCAGAGTCACTTATACATTTCAGAAAGCTTTCTACTCAAAGTAAGAGGCCCACTGTGCCTTGAGTCTTTAACAGGGAGTCTACTGAAGATGTTCCCCCACAAATGGAACTAAGAGATTTGGATAAAGGTAGGATCTCTGAAAGGCATGTGGAGTCCAAGCCTTCCCCAGGGCCCTGGAGACTCTAGAGGCTCTAGGTGCTCCTCTGTATCCCTGTAAGCAGAAGGTTCCAAAACGCCAACCCAATTACGGTGATTTCTGGGAATCTTGAACTTTTACACATATCCCTCTTCCTCACTCTCTACAGCTCTATAAACCAGAACAATATGTCTCAACCTACTTAACCTTCACCTACTTCTTCATCAAGGGGCAGTTACAGAACAAGATTCCATGACAGCCTAAAAAGTGTCTGGTTTGTGGATTACCTGAGGATTGATCAACTTGTTCTTGTTCCTTAAAGAAAGAGACTACACAAACACCAGGAATTCTAACACAAGATTAGAAGCATGCAGTCATTTCTACTCAGCATCCATGCGCACTGCCACTAAGACTAAAGCAGTTTACAAAAGAAAGACAATTTTAGAAGCCCAGGGAGTATGCATCTCCTTAACAAAGGATCAGACTTGTTTGATCAGAGCGCTCAGAGCAGTGCATGGGGCACTTAGGGAGTCACCTTGGGGGAAGGCTGTCAGGAGGGAAGCTACCCCTTCATCTAAGATGGTAGAATCACAGTCTTGCTCAAACAGTAGGTGGCTGGATACCCATCTTATCTTGTAACCACAGACTTTCCCAAACTCTGCCAAGACTCTAGGGGAGGGATATAGATCTCAGATGATCACGCTGTATCCTAAGCTTAAGGATATCAAGCTCTGGTTTCAAGAGATCATCAGCTAGCTCCAGGAATGCAGAAGGTCAATTCAGACTTTCCACATGAAATTCTCCCTTATTCAGGCAGAGAATGCAAGCATGGTATGGAGGGGAGGACACACACAAGACCACCATCACCACCACCAGCAGCTGGAAAAGGCCTTGTCAAGCAGCAGAAATATATCAATGTTGGCATATATTCTTTGGCTTGCAAGCCTGCTATCTAAAGCAGTACCCCAAGCAGGCAGACTGCTCTTGTTCCTACCTTGCGCTGGGGCACGAGTTTCCTTTGACTTTTGGTTGTAGACCTGCAGGTCCCAAGGCGCTCCACTCCACCATTCTGCTGAACAGAAACTCCTCCTCTCAATAACGCCACAGACAGAGCAGAGCAAATTACACCCTCCCACAACTCCATGGTGCACCTCCAGAGCTAAGGGGCCGGGCTCCTTCCTGGTCTAAGACAATTGACTGCACTAACAGATGAATGAAACTTCAGGCAGTGCACTTCCCAATGGGACAGTCATCACTCTGAAAAGAAAAGGTCTTCACTGAGAAAGAATAAATTCAAAGTATGCTCTAAGCAGAGGAAAGTGTCAGCACCGTGCAATAGGATGACAGATTTAATTTTCCCTGGTATTAGTAAAAGGGTGTAAGAAAAAAGTTAATTACTGGTATTCTTGCTGTTGCTACCAGCTTGGCCCTCTTTGGATGGCACTCTGAAGATCAGTGAATTGGGGACTGGAGAAATCAAAGGGAGTCCTTAGATTTGAAGTTCACAAGAGGGCAGGGAGGGCACCAGGACTAAAGAGAGTTGCTCTAATTACTACCTGCTCGGAAAGTTCAGTGAGTTCATATCCCAATAAAGCCTCTGTTCTCTCTAACATCTAATAATATGGGCAACATATAGGGAAAAAAGAAGAAAGAATCTAATAAAACAACTTTTCAGAAAAGCGAAGAAAAGTTCTAAAGAGCAATCACAAATGTTCAAAAAAAAATTAACTAAGTAATTGATCTTACCATCTTTAGTTGGAACATTTTACTTTTATTAAAAACCATTTAAGATATTGTTCATCGTGTTCATTAAAAAGCAGCCAACACTCAAAAAAACCAGTGCCACAACACCTGACCTACTTTTCATTATGGTTCACACGAATCCCGTTTGTTTCACTCTTTGCTGAAGTAAATCAGCAGCTTATCACTGACAGAGAGAAGGAAAATTTTCATCTGCTGCAGGTTTTGAAAGAGTCCAAGTGTTTGGGCAGGTAATTTTTTAAAAAGAGTTTTAAAGGCAAAGGTAAAACTTTTTGAGAAAATTCAAGATGAAGTGATTTTCCTATTGTTGTTGTGCACTGTCGGTCAGTCAACTCCCACTCAGAGCCACCCTGTGTGACAGAACCCAGAGGAGACATTAATTTCTGCTTACCTGGTTCAATGTTTTCTTTTCTTTGTGCGTTTCCCGACTGCCTCTTCTTTTCAGGGAACTCTGAAATATATCCAAGTGGCATTCTGTTACTGAGAGCCAAGTCCTCAGTAGACTGACCCCATGGTTAGGGTAGACAAAAATTGATAGGCTCTTTCCTTTGCTAGAATAAAGAAACAACACAGGGCTAACATTTAAATGCCGATGAATACATTTGCTGAGGTTCTTGAATCATAAGAGACTTTAAATGCTACTTATTGCACTTGGGGTATTCTTTAATTATGTGTTCAATGAAAAAGAAGGATGAGTTTGGATAACTTAGGTTAGTAGAAAGAGGATAAGAAGAGAAAAGAACTGTTAAATATAGGTATACAATATTTCTGGAGATGTTTATCTTCCTAACTATATTTTATTTGGACTAATATAAAAATTAATTGATGCTTCCTGGTGCTTATAGGTAAGTGCCTAGATAAAAGAATGGTAAAGAAGTGAAAATGGAGGCCTGTATTTTTGTTGAAAACCTAATTTAGGTTGCAAAAACTCTGTTTGAATAAAAGCAAAACAAAGCCAACTGCTGCCAAGTACACTTCAACTCAGGGTGATCCCATGTGTCACAGTAGAACCAACTGAACTCAGAGTAGATGGCTGCTTTCTTGGTAGGAGATTAACAGGCCTTTCTTCTGAATTTACCTCTGAGGAGATTTGAACCGCCAGTCTTTCTTTTAGCAGCCAAGCACGTTGGCTGTTTGTACCCTCCAGGCACTCCTCATCATGAACAACCCATACCAATTCATAGGATCACCATGTCCATATTCTTGAGTTGGCTGTGGCTGTGTCCTGAAATGGGCTGGTTCATAACTAGCTGGCACGCATGACAGGTGCACCTTAGCTGTTCTAGGCAAGAAACTGAAACTGTGTCTGAAATACAAATGTCTGAAATAAAATTACAGGAGTCAGGACAGTTTCTGATAATGCAAAGTGTGAAGACAGAAAAAAAATGACAAGAGGAAAACAGGAAAAAGCATCCTTGTGGAAAAAAAGGGAGACTGAAAAGAGATATTTAACCCTAAGCAAGTTGGAAGAAAATCTGGAGAATATGGCTTTGTTGAGCAGGACTCTGTGGCCCGTTCTTGGCATGGCTCTCTGCCAAGGGGATTGTCCCCAGTGTCCACCACCTCCCTCCTGCACTGGTCCCCAGTGTCTGCACCCTGGATCCTCTGCTTGGTTTCTCTGCACCTGCTCCACACAAACTAGTATGGAAAAGAGGCTGTTGTGCAAATCACTTATATCACAGCTGGACTCTAAGTTAACTAAGTTATTACTGTTTACTTAAATTTTAAGCTTTACACACTTTCAGAATGCCAGTTAGATGGAATTTCAGATGAAGCAATGATTAAAACCTACTGTGTACTGTGTCATTCCAATGATCAGTTGAGGATTAGAACATTGTAATTCATAAGAGTGTTTTGGGGCGGGGAGGTGGGGGTAAGGAGGTAGAGTTAGAATATGGCTGGGTCTAGCCTAGGCCTAAGGAGCTCTGGTAGCATAGTGATTACAAATTGGGTTGTGAACCTTAAGGTCAGCAGTTCGAAACTACCAGCTGTTCCGCGGGGGGTGGGGGTGGGGTGGGTAATGAGGCTTTCTGCTCCCATAAAGATTTACAGCCTCAGAAAACCTATACAGTGTTCACTATGAGTTGGAACCAACTCCATGGCACATAACCACCATGACCAGGCCAGGCCTAGGGTTTTGTGTAGTATTAGAGTTATGGTTAGGATAAGGGTAGGAATTGGTCTAGGGATCAGAGCAGGGTTTGGTCTAGCTTTGTTGTTGTTGTTATGTGCCGTGGAGTCGGTCCCGACTCATAGTGACCCTGTACAGGGTTTCCAAGGCTGTAAATCTTTACGGGAGCAGAAAGCCTCATCTTTCTCCCGCAGAAGAGCTGGTAGTTTCGAACTGCTGACCCTGCGGTTTGCAGTCTTATTCGTAACCACTACGCTACCAGAGGTCCAACTTTAGGTTTATTTTTATTCTTGAAATCCACTTAATTTCCTCTTCATTTGGAAGTTCTGTAATTACACTCCTCCCTCTTTTTATTTGGTGGATTTTGTTTTTTATTGTTGCAAACTGGTAACTCTGGTTCTCTATTTTCAGGCTTGTAGGTTTGTTTGACCTGGGATACTTCAGTATCTGGGTTGCGTTCTGGGTTACACGGCATGTATGTTTATCTCAGGTTGTTGTCTGCTGTGACTTGTTCTCGGTCCTAAGAACTCCCTTTAGTATTTTTTGTAAGGTTGGTCTGGATTTACAAATGATTTTAGTTTTATCTGGAGATAAACTTTCACTATAATATTCGGGGAACAATTTTTCTGGATCCATGATTCTTGATTGGCAATTTTTTCTTTCAGAGATTTATATATGTCATCCCATGGTCTTCTTGCTTGCCTGGTTTCTGCTAAGAAATCAGAGATTTAGTCTTACTGGTTTTTCCCTTTGTAAGCAACTTTTTAAATTTTCCCAAGCTGCACTCAAGTTTCTTTCCCTGTTTTTGCTTTTGAAGAATGTGATTAAAATATGTCTTGGTGATTTTCTTTCAGGGTCTATCTGTTTGGAGTTCATTCAGCTTCTTGAATGTATATCTTTTCATCTTTTATGATGTTAGGGAAGTTTTCCTCCAACAATTTTCTTTGTGGTGTTTTTTGGCCTCTTCCCGTTCTGGAATTCTGATGACACACAAGTTAGTTATCCTCATGATGTCACACAAAATTCTTAGGTTTCCATCAAAATTTTGTTGTTATTGTTCTTTTTTCTGATTACGCTTCTAACACGAATTTTAGAAATTTAACAAAAAAGAGATTTATCTTCAAGCTCACCAATTCAGTCTTCCATTGATTCAATTCTACTTCTCTACTCCTTCAATGTATGATCTAGTTCTGAAATCTTAGTACTACTCTTCTGGATTTCTACTTGCTGTTTTTGTATGGTTTCTAATTTTTCATTTGTGGTTAGTGAATCTTCCTTCAATTCTAAAGCATGCTCTGCATATAATCTAGCTTCTCAGGTATTTACTCAGTATACAGATTGAATAAGTATGTTGAAATAATACAGCCTTGGCACATACCATTCCTGATTTTAAACCATTCAGTATCCTCTTGTTCTGTTAGAGTGACTGCCTCTTGGTCTATGTACAGATTCCTCCTAAGTACAATGAAGTGTTCGGGAATACCCATTCTTCACAATGTTATAGATAGCCATACCTTGTAATGATCCACAGAGTTAAATAGTTGCATACTCAATAAAGTACAAGTAGACATCTTTCTAGTAGTCTCTGCTTTCAGACAAGACAAGATCCATCTTCCGTCAGCAATGACATACCTAGTTCCACGTCCTTGTCTAAATCCTGCTTGAGTCTCTGGAAGTTCCCTTTCAATGTACTATTGCAGCCACTTTTGAATTATCTTCAGCAAACTTTTACTTACATGAGATATTAATGATATTGTTTAGTGATTTCTGCCTTCCGTTGGGTCACCTCTCTCTTTGGAATGAGCACAAATATGGATCTCTTCCAATCATTTGGCCAGGTTAGCTGTCTTCTAGATTTCTTGACAAAGATGAGTGAATGCCTCCAGTGCTGCATCAGTTTGTTTAAAGATTTCCAGTTGTATTTCATCGATTCCTGGAGACTTGCTTTTCACCAATGCCTTCAGAGCAGCTTGGACTTCAGTACCACTGATTCTTGATCATGTGCTGCTACCTCATGAAATGGTTGGACATCGACCATTCCTTTTTGGTACAGTGCCTCTGTATACTCCTTCCATCTTCTAACGTGATTACTAGTCATTGAAACAGCATAGTATCATCTGTTTACGCACATGGTCTTCATGGGTTGGTACACACATCTCATAGGAAGGCAATGTGGGCCTTCAAAAGCGTACGCTGGGACCCAGTAGTTCCACCTCCAGGAGCATACGTAAGAAAGCATGCGGAGACAGGTGCAAAGACTGCTATGCTATGTGTGGCTGCTCAACACAGTCTCTGGTACAGCAGTAATAAGCACTGTGAAGGTATTAAGTGATATTTTTGAGGAATATTTAAGGATGCAGGAAATGCTCATAATACAGGTTATAAACAGCATGCATTCTATAATCCCAATTTTTGTTAAAATACATAATACACATATTGTTGCTAAGTTTCATTGAGTCGTTTCTGACCCACGGCGACCCTATAGAGGGTTTCCTAGGAGCGACTGGTGAGCTTGAACCACCAAACTTGTAGTTTAAACTGACTTTGCAGTCTAGCGCATTAATCCACAGCACCACACCAGGATTCCACATACACATATATAGATATATAATTCTAGAAAAGAGGACTGGAGGAATCTATCACAGAATGTTAATAGTGATCATTGTCAGATGATAGGGTTATGGGCAATTTTAAATTTCTTCTTTGTGGCTCTCATAGCAGAGTCCATAGGAGGACAGGAGGAGGAGGACACCACTCTTCCCTAGGTAGAACACAGTGGTGCTTCATCAGAAGTTATATGCTTGCTTCTCTCCTTGGGTCTCTTTGCCATAGGTTGAGACTATTTTTATTGGCCTGGTCCTTCAAGCATAATATTACATATAGAGCTGACTAAAAAGACCAGGAAGCCCCCCTGACAGGGGAACAGTAGGTACCCAGTGATGCTGCAAATCCTTGGACACACAGCACCGTGGCAAAGGAGAAGGGTGCCATAAAGGTAGCACTGCCAACAGGTGGCACATCACCTCCCACTGGTTCCTGCATTGGGCACAGCGTTCAGGGACCCTAGGTGCAGGGCAATCTGTGTGAGCATGACCCATGCCCAGCTCTCTCCCATGGATGACTGAGAGATCCAGTGGAGAGTCTCTTCCAAAAAATAATTAAGAGAATGGGTAAATGTAGATGATCAAATAAACAGAACACAGCTGGGAGAACTGCCAGCTGATAAGTGGTACTCTTGCTTTTTTAATCTGGTCAACTGCCAGCAAATCAGCTCTAAGTTCCTATTGAACAGGAAAAAAATTGTGAGTCTAAATTGAATC